ACTGAGGAGTTGGATGTATGTAGATATATATGAGAAGAGATACAGTCAAAAGTCGTTAATTCGGACACCCATAATACGGAATGATCTATAATCCGGACCTCAAAGCTACAAACTTTCTCCACACGCGGTGTCTCCACATGCGTTGCATTGACGCATGTGCATAGGCCTTTACGCGTGCGCGTAAGACCTTTACGGCTGCGAATATGCGTGTGCGCATGCGCATAATACGCTTACGCATGCGCATTTAATGTATAACGGACGGTATAAGTTGAGCTAAAATTATATTTTTTGCAGACTGTTAGAGCAATTTTATAAAAGTAAGCTTGAACTTTCGATTATCACAAATAGAATTTCCGATATATATTTACTAATAAGTAAAGGATCTACAAAGCGAAAGTATGTTTCGAAGTCCATTAAACAGAAAGTGGAATTGCTGCAAAAAATGGATAAAGGCATATCCTTTGATTATCTAATCATTCCAAAATATGTTTATCAATTTCACGCTGCTCTGCGGGGGGAGGGAAACTACGAGGCATGCAACAAATTGGAAGTTGATCTGTCAGCACTATCCTTATCTTCAGGGCAGATGTTTTTATTTTATTTGGCTTATAATTCCTTACTAAATGTAGTATTTCATCTCGATGTACTCCGTTTTTGATATGATTTAAATCAAGTTCCTCGTCATTATAATTCGCTTCCGATAGTGAAGAAAGTGACACCGAGGTTATTAAAAATGAAAAAAATTTAGATTGACAAATTAGTCGGTATTCTCGACACAGCAATTATAGGACTTGAACAGCGGAACTTTGTACCTAAACAAGAAATTATGTCTGTTTAATGGAATTAAAGAGAAAGTATTATGACATGAAACGAAGCAACTTAAACGACTTACATTGAAAGAAATGTTTAATAAAGTAAACAAATAAATATTAAGCTTTTTCTTTTTGTAAATTTTGATACGTTTTAGATCATAATTGTTCTTTATTTCATAAATTACGGCTTCATATTTTTAATTTTATAATTTCTGCATGCCATCTTACCAGATTTAAACTGATGATCTATAATCCGGAAAAATCGATAATCCAGAATCGCTGAAGTCTCGACGAGTCCGGATTAACGACTTTTGACTGTATATATATATATATATATGAGAAGTGTTTGATACATTATCTCCTAAGAAACTAAATAAAAGCGATTGGTTACTCTCTATTTTAGGGTACTCCTTGGATTAGTGCCAATTTATTGTTTCATTTATGGTAACCAACCTGAGTAGTCGAATGTTATGGCACGATTGGCTGTAATACGTGATTTTGACTGATGGGAAAATATTTTTACGGACTTACTTAGGTACAGATGTTAGTTAGGAAGTACATTCCTTATTTTGTTCTTTACACCATAAAATACCTGCTGGTGAGGTGATTAGCGTGAAGTTTCTGTACACTTTGGAACGATTGAGAAATAAAACATTAAATGGCTTTGTTCACTCCTGGGTAAATTACACAGTGAGATTTAAGGATTTCGAAACTGGAGCTCATACAACACTATAGAAGGCATGTGGGGGTGTAATAAAAAGGGATTTGCAAAAGAAATGCTACCAGCAGTATGGAGGATATTTTTCATTTTTACTTTTGTGAAGTAATGTGGCAACGGTAGTAATTCTAGTTTAGATGATTTAGTTCTTGTTGATAATGCTGTTAAAGAATCCTGTGTGTCACACATATCGAAGGAACAGAAATTTTTTAATAAGGTAAGTCAATATTTCCTTTTTGTATTGTGTAGATTAGAAAACATGTATTTCCATTCTTAGGTTATTTCCTTGTTTAATTTAAAATGCAGTTTATTGAGATCATCTATTTTTTGTTTTAATTATTTTTTATTGCATTATGTTTCAGATGCCATTTTACTGGGGAGGGCGTTTAACGTAAAAAGGAATGGGGCCAAAAATTCACCAATTTTCGCCCAGGGATACCCTAAAATATATTTTTACTAAGCGATTAATAATTCTAGAAAAAACAAATGGAAATTCTATTGTAGTAAAAATTATGCCAGCAGTCTAATTACAACACAATCACATATCATTCTTTATTTAATTAGATAGTCAACAAATACAGATTATACTGTTATGAATTGGTAGCTCGCACCATTAGGTGGCGTTCCAAATGTTTTGACTCTGTTGTTATTCTATAACTTAAATTTAGTTTTCAATGAAGAACGAAGGTGTTAAGCCTAATAATAATGAAGGCTTATGCTTAATAATAATGCTTGTAAACCATTGTATTATATGTAAATAAATTTATGTGTAATGATAATGAAGCAAAATCATCACTTACCTCTGGATTTAATGTTCTCTGATTGATAATAAAAATAGTTACTACATACAATACACATAAAAAAATACAAGCTCAAGCTGTGACATTATCTGACAAAGAAATTCGTTAAAACTAGCACCAATCACTCTAGCAGTGAAAAATTTCTAATGGCATAAAAAATAATAAAAGTGTCATGTTTCCTAGCAATTTGACACCACATACATTCGCTTACAAATCTAAATGAAGTTGCACTGCTCCGTGGTTCTTTTACAGTGCCATTTTGACAAAGCCTACAGTCTTTTAATGTTCTGAACATACACATCAGTATAATCAGTTCCACATGGAAATACTTGCTTGTTGTTCTGTAGAAGACAGACCCCAAATTTTTATTTTTATTTATTTATTTATTTTTTTTTTCAAAATGCAAGAAAGAAACAGAAAAGTAGCAATTACCTTCTGGTACAACTCTGATATACGCCCTAATTTCACCAAATGTGGCGATATATGTTCTGCGCTGGTTATTGGCACGATTGCGTTTTCTACGGCAACCCTGTTGACGTTGAACAATCTTTCGCTGGACCTCGTTGCTTCGCATCTGTGTCTGAGAAGATGGGAGGGAAAGATAAAATGGTAGAAGTTGTTGAATTGAAGTTCGGCAACAGAAAATATCGTTGTGGCCATCCTGTTGAGGGGTAGTGGGTATTTGGAGGTGTCGAAAGAGGGTCTGGGAGATTATTTTTAATGGCTGTGCATGATAGAAGTACGGATTTGTGATTTTATTTATTTGTGAACCATAGTATGAATTTTCTGGAGTGTGTCTGGCTGTCATGTAAATACGATAGTGATTACGTGGCGGCATGTTAAAGGCAGTATGAAATTAGTATATCTGCTGCTCGAAGAAGCATTAATTCATGGTAAGTGCATTTTATTTTATTTTTGTTCTTATTTGTGAATAGAATGTTATGTTCATTGGTTATTTAGTATGAATTTCTGTCGTTATTGTTGTTTTTGAAAGAGAACGCTGTGTACATGGTATTATTTGAAATTTATTGTTATTATGTTATTTTATTAAAGCGAGGTGTGCGTAGATCGTACATTACGCCATTTATAGATTTTTTTTAAGTTAAAACATGTCGCTGTGTACATGGATTCTTGTCAAATATTTTTGGTTAGAAACTTTACGTTTTTGCTATCTAAATTTTTTGTTTCTGTTTCGGATTTTTAGCTTAAATCGTGTGTTCAAAACGTAGTTTTTGCATGTGCGAAAACCGCGTTTTTGGAGACATTTTAGGCTTAAAGTTCGAAATATGGACAAAAAATTTAGATAGTAATATGGCAGCATGAAGTTTCTCACCAAAAATGTTTGGCGAGAAATTTGGCCACTTGAGGGTGCATATCAGAGTAGTTCCTACCTTCCTTATAAAATCTAACCAGGGTTACTGAAGATCAGAGTTACATAAAACTAAAGAGAAGTTCTTATGAGTGTGTTGTGACATCACGCTTATCCATTATTGGTGATACTGTTAAAAATGACTGACAGCAAAATTATATGTGTACTGTGACTTTTACTGAGTTCACTTCTCATACTGGGAGAGTTATATAATTTTAAAATAGAAGGGTAATGCAAATGAACTGAAGCCATACTGCAGTAACATGTAGTTAATTACACGTATGCTAATGTTATTTATTTGTTTGTAAGATATGTACTCATCATGCCAACACAAATACCTACGTTCTGTGGTTATGGCATGTTGTGAGGTAAATGCCTTCTGACTTAGCGAAGTTTCAGTATTATTCAACAAAAGACCTTACAGATAATCTTAATAGATTATAGATCAACCTCACACCACATCATTATTAGTATTAATAAATTACTAATGGATACAATTTAATAATCATATTGTCAGTATATGAATGTAATAATCGTTTTCTCAGTATATGAACGTAAAGGAATGTGAATATACCTTGGATATATGTGAAAATTTACAAAAAAAAAAAAAAAAAAAAAAGTAATTAGAAATGCTTGAATTTGATTTTTATTATCGCTAGAATAAAAAGATTCTACTGATAACTTGGTGAATCTGATCATTTCACAAGTGTCAAGATCATTACTTTGTAGGCTAATTGGATTCAAACTAAGATTATCATTTAACATAAATTACTATAAAAAGTAAGGCTGTAATTTAACAAAAGAAAAATACATCCTAAAATTTTCAACAAGTAAAAATAAAATAATTTTTTTCATATTTGATATAAATAGAACATTTCAATGCGATCACTCCGAACAAGCTAAAGTATTCATAAACTAAACATCCCCTTTCAAACGAATCCACAGATCATTATTGAGTATAAATATATTAAAAATATTATAATTAACCGAATGAATTATCTAATAACTATTTCAATCTAACGACTTTATTCAAATCAAATGACAACTAATTGATATCCAAATAAGAAACAGAGAAATAGTTCATATATATATGAAAATCTTATTTTGGGGGGGGGGGAATATATTAAAAATGAGAAGATACTTGAGAAAATACTGTGTATTTTAGAGCTCATCAATTAAATTTTCTGTTACCATATTCCAAAAAATCAGACTAATTCACTTCAGTGTAAATAACTGCGCATTTTATGTTATTACAATTTGCATTAAAAAACCCCAAAAAATATCAATATTGAGTAAATTACCATATTTCCGAAATTCGACGATAAAACGCAAAAATTCGCTGTCAATCTTTAAATATTTATACAAAAGCAGTTTTGTTGCCATTAAGTAAAACTAAATATTCTATTTTTAAATACATTTTAATTCTTTTTTATTTATATTAAGTTATTAAGAAATAAACACTAAAGAACTAACTGATCATTTCATTCAAAACTGGAATAAAATATTTGGCTATTGTTTCCTTATTTTTGTTTTATATCATACATGAAAAATCCTTTCTGCCCAAAAGTAATTCTAATAATTTTGAATTCACGTTCAGTAAATAGAGCTAAAATGTATTGAGACGCGTAAGTAGTTATTTTAAATTAAATAAAAAGGAACTAAAAATCTAATAGTAAAAATCCTGTTATTTTATAAGACGCCTATTCAATTTTAAAACAGCATAGTTTTCGGCTTTTTGTAGTATGGCAATAGAACATTTAAGCTAAACCAGACAGACTTTTAAATGAATGTCGAAAATCAGCGCAGTACAGTATTGTGGTAGTGTTAAGAACGCGTGTTACTCGTGTGAGGATCGTCGTTAAAAAAATTATAATTAACTGTAATTTAACATTCGTTTTGTAAAATAAAACTTGAATTTTTTTAATATTAGCAAGCTATTAGGTACGGAAAGAAACTTTGTCATCATAATTACGGAACCGTTAGAATATTTATTACTGGTAAGTACTATTTTGCCGACACTCCTCCTGTGAAAGAAAGATACTTAATTTCGCTTTTCATAATAGCTGAATTTCATTGTTATCATTTTATAGTTTAGGTCTTACATCAATTAATAAATGTAATTTTTTTCTTATGATTTTTTTACAGCGTTATTTGAAGAGTATAATTAATTATATTCTACACTGGTGTTTAATTGCTTCAAATACCAATTTTTGCGAACTAGCCAGAGGGTAACCTTTGGTGAAATTTACTTATGGGACGCGAATTGGTGACTAAAAGGCAGCCAAACTATCGATATTTATCGTGAGTCGGCATAAAAGAAAAGGTACTACTGATTATCCCGTCGGCCATAAAGTTGGCTGAGATCTCGCCAAAGTCACGTTAAATATGCGTTTCATCCGCAGAGAACCCGTTGGCGCCGTTGCATTTTTACTCGCCAAGCTCGCCGATGAGCCGAGCCGCAAACGTGATTTTTAGTGCATGTAAATTCAAGTTAGCAGACAAAACAATATATTAAGCATATGGTAGTAAAAATTCACAGATAATAAACATGTAGATGTAAAACTAACCTGTTAAACGTGATATACGAAAATTATATTAATTCAATTAGCACAGAAAAGAATATATTAAGTATAAGACGATATATAAGCTTTATAACGGAAATAAAAAATTCATTTGAAAATATAAATTAGTATTAATGTACTGAAATTAAACCTGTTAAACGTGATAAAAAAAAAATGTCTTAAATTCCAGTTAACACAGAAAACAATATCCTTACACCAGCAATGGTTGCTAATTTTGATGACCATGGTGATGCATCAAATATTCTGTCATCTTAGATAATGAAAATCTTTTTTATTTCAATCAATCATCTATTTATGTCCACTTGCATCCTCTGAAAGGTTCTTGTTAGAAAGCATTAACAATATATTATCTTGTTAAAATTTTACGCCAGAAAATGATTTATTCTCATAATTTTAGATGACAATACCAATAATAAAAATAAAAGCATACTTAGTAATTAATTGCTGGTTCTTAGAGCTGTAATAATTAAGACACAACGTGAACAGCTGTGTTACAAATTAGCTTCACCCTCCCGTCGTAGTTTCTTCCTTTCATCCGAACCGAGAACCGGCCTCTATCTTTGAAAATATTTCTATCTATTCGTTGTTAAAAATCAGAAAAAATATATAAGAGAATAATATAAATCTGCAAATGCGAACAACGACAGTGATAATTCAACAAAATGAACGCAAGAGGAATGGTTGCAAACTTCGAACAAGCGAATAGGATAAATCTGCTGGGTTACCAGGTTTGAACTATTATCACCAAAGTTCCCCAGAGGAAGCACTTCCACAGAGAACCCGATAAATGTAAACATTGCCAACTTTGGCGATAATAGTTCAAACCTGGAAACCCAGCTAATTTATCCTATTTCGCTTGTTCGAAGTCTTCTTGCGTTCACTTCGTTGTTCGCATTTGCAGATTTATATTATTCTTCTTATTTATTATTTTTTCTGAATTTTTAAACAACGAATAGATAGAAATATTTTCGTAGATAGATGCCAGTTCTTTGTTCGGGATGAAAGGAAGAAAATACGGGGGGTGGGGTGAATGCTAATTTGTAATACAGCTGTCCACGTTGTGTTCTTAATTATTAACAGCTGTAAGCATGCAGAACTATGATGTTTTTAACCCCTATAATAATTTGTTTTCGTAGACCGCAAAAATATGCATGTGCATTTTCAATAAGTAATGCTTTTATTTTTATTATTGGTAATTGTCATCTAAACTTATGAAAATAAATCAATTCTTATGGTGTAAAATTTTAACAACATAATATATTGTTAATGCTTTTCTAACAATACCTTTCAGAGGATAGCAGGTGTGACATAAACAGATGATTAAACTGAAATAAAAAATATGATTGATTATCTAAGATGACAGAATAGTTTGATGCATCACCATAGTCATCAAAATTAGCAAACCACTGCTGGTGTAAGGAATATATTGTTTTCCGTGTTAACTGGAATTTAAAACAAATTTTTTTTAGTTTATCACATTTAACCGGGTAATTTCAGTACATTAATACTAATTTATATTTTTTATTTGCGTTATAAATGCTTATATATAGTCTTATGGTTAATATATTCTTTTTCTGTGCTAACTTGAATTTAATACAAATTTATTTCTGTACATCACGTTTAACTGGTTAGTTTTACATCTACATGCATATTATCTGTGAATTTTTACTACCATATGCTTAATATATTGTTTTATCTGCTAACTTGAATGTATATGCACTAAAAATCACGTTTACAAAATAATATCAGGCTTACGGCTCGGCTCATCGTCGATGAACCGCCATCTTGGGAGTAAAAATGCAACGCGCCAACGGGTTTTCTGCGGATGAAAACCCTTTGCTAGCGTCAAAAGATTTGAAGGTATGAATTTCACTTATCTGATTCAGTTGCAAGGTAAGGGCAAAAGGTGTGTGATAGATTGGCAGGCACAGCTTTAGTATTAGACATTTTTGGCAAGAAATTTGTTTGGCAATATTTTGGCACGATAAATGAAAAATTATGGTAACCCTAAATACCGAGCATGGAAAAAAAACATGCCGCCATTTCTGTTCACCTGACTTTAACGAATTTGGTAGGTATCAGAGCTTTGATGGCAGGAGGGATAAACTGCATGTTTTTCTTAAAAGTTACTTTCATATTAGGAAAGCACAACATTTAAAATAATTTTTAAAAAGTCAAAATTTGATAGTTAAAACTGATGCTTTTACTATGAGTCTTGACATTTTTCACATGTCAACTCTGCATATTATAAACTCCCCCCCTCCAAGAAAAAAAAAAAAAATTAGTAGCATGAGGTAAACTCTTGGTGTTTCCTTTCCATTGCATACAAATTTACACTTCTTAGATGTTTCTTAAAATGAGCAGTGATCAAAATTACCATGGTCTAAAAATACCTCTTTGGTACAACTCTAATATATGCCCTAATTTCACCAAATGTGGCGATATGTGTTCTGCGCTGGTTTTTGGCGCGGTTGCGTGTTCTATGGCAACCCTGTTAACGTTGGAAAATCTTTCGCTGGAGCTCGTTGGTTCACCTCTGTGTCTGAGAAGATGGGAGGGACAGATAAAATGGTAGTTGTTGAATTGAAGTTCGGCAAAAGGAAATATCATTGTGGCTATCCTGTTGAGGGGTAGTGGGTATTTGGAAGTGTGGAAAGAGGGTCTGGGAGATTATTTTAATGGCAGTGCATGATAGAAAGTAGGGATTTGTGATTTTATTATTTGTGAACCATAGTATAAATTTTTGGATAGTGTGTCTGGCTGTCGTGTAAATACGATAGTGATTATGTGGGTGGCATGTTAAAGGCGGTATGAAATTTATATTTCTGCTATTCGAAACGCATTAATTCATGGTAAGTGCATTTATTTATCCTTGTTTTATTTGTAGAACGTTATGTTCATTGGTTCTTAGTATTAATTTCTGTCGTTATTGTTGTTTTTTTAAATTGTTTGAAATTTATTTTAGTTTATTTGTTGTTTAGTGTCTAGACTGTACAATTCGTAGATGTTTTTTAAAGTTAAACAGAACGCTGTGTACAGGTATTATTTGAAATTTATTGTTATGTTATTTTATTAAAGCGAGGCGTGCGTAGATCGTAGATTCCTTCCTTGCCTAAATTGTGCATTCGTAGAATTTTTTTAAGTTTAACAGGATGTGTGTACATGGTATTCTTTGAAATTTATTGTTATGTTAATTTATTAAAGCGAGGTGTGCGTAGTTTGTAGATTCGTTCGTTGCCTACATTGTGTAATTCATAGATGTTTTTTTAAGTTAAAACATGTTGCTGTGTACATGGATTCTTGTCAAATAATTTTGGTTAGAACTTTACGTTTTTGCTATCTAAATTTTTTGTTTTTGTTTCGGATTTTTAGCTAAATTGTGTGTTCAAAACGTAGTTTTTGCATGTGCGAAAACCGCATTTTTGGAGACATTTTAGGCTAAAAATTCAAAATGTAGACAAACAATTTAGATAGTAATATGGCAGCGTGAAGTTTCTCGCCAAAATTATTTGGCGAGAAATTTGGCGACTTGAGGGCGCATATCAGAGTAGTTCCACCTCTTTGCCTCATTTCTTAAATTAGGACTATAGATATGTATAATTGCATGAATTCATAGATCAAAATCAGGTTTCATTATTGCTTTTATAACATTTTTAGAATTTGTCTCACTATAAAAAATATAATGTTGCTTAGATTATGGAATATATTGCTTATAATTAACAATTCTCAAATTTTGTAAATCTCACAAGCTAATAGCTGTATATGAATAACCTTCAGAGTATTATTACTT